CTCTCTAGTAGTCAATTAACATATTCATTACATCGCTACAAGAGGTAGGTCGAGAACCCGAATCCCTTAGTGGTAACGTTCTCGCTCTTAGAGCCGGTTGATGCCAGTTTGATTCGTCGAGAAGGTATCACTTCCTCTAAGGTTGCATCGTTGAAATTTTATCTTTATTCTACATAATTTTATTCAGATGTTTTTTGGCGTATATCCAGGTGGAGAACGGGTAAAGTCGAAATATATCCCTTTTGCAAAATATACCTGAAGGTGTTAGCAGGATTCTGACTGGCTGGCTGGTTTCAACATAGAACTTTGCACCGGTGTACAGCAGTTCGAGTCGCCACATTTCGCTTAGCCCACAAAGCAACAGAAGAGAGTAAAGAGACATTCAAAAGAGAGATAATAAACAAAGACATGAGGCAAAAAGACTAGTAATATCGAAGGACAATCGAATTTTATTGGATATTCTAAGTAACAAGGAGTGGATGCCTCTGCGCCAGCCATTGAGAACGATTTCGAGCCATATCATCAATTGTCTCCAGCCACTGGCTTTTACCAGCTCGAGGACCCCAACCAAGAAGTCCACACCTCCCGATGTGAATTAAACTAACTGTTGTAGATTTCATTGACTAATGAAGCCATGTTTTGATTTGACCACCACTAGATCTTTACCAACGTGACCCTATGTCAGCTAACATTGCCCGTCGAGGAAGGCGATGACTAGAGATGTACGCGCAACACATGTCTTAACCATCTCAATCGATATAACTTCACAACCTAGTCTATTAATTTCCCCTCCTTACCTAGCGCTCTACCGACGCCTAACCTCAATATTGCTCATCGTAGTATACCATTTCACACAGGATATAGAAACCAGACACCCACAGTCAAAGACAGCTAACCTTTTTCATGTCTTCTACATTCAATGACCAGGTCTCACAGCAGGGATCCATTACCTTGGAGCATATGATTCATTTAGTACAAAATGGTTTAACTTATTGCATATTTCTTTCACCTAAAGAATATTATGGTTGTTAAAAGTTTAGTTTTGTAGGTTGCACCCTTCATGGTCATTTTCATTTTCTTTTCAGACGTTACCTGCATACAAGTTTATGAGTTTAAGTTGGAAATCAATAGAAATGTGCGTATTTAAGAACTTGATGTGGCACGACAGGGTGTAACTTCACACTATCTTTTTCTCAGTCTTGAAGCACACATGATTAATTAGAGGACTGCTGTAAGTAAACATTATCCCATTGTCTGAAAGCCCAATATATATAACTACTTTAAATGAAGGCAATCGAATTACTTCAGAGAATAAGAATTCTATCTAGTTTCTTGAACAAACTGGTAAGGTATATAGTTATATTTATAATATGCATACCACACCGTTCGTGTAAAAATTTCACTAAAGTGAATCAGACCACTGAGACTACACTATGTGACCTACTTGATATCATTGATGATAGTCAAGAGATTAGATACGGTAGCAAGAAGGCATATAATAATGGCAACTGGAATTTAGTGATCATTGTCTAGTCTCTCAATGTATAGCTATTAAAGTTTCTATCAAAATCCGAAACGTGCGACTTTCTGCTGGATTCATTTATCATAGCTGATTTTGAATGCTGAACATGAGAATACATTAGCCCTATCTAACTGATGTCAATTCATGGTGAAACTCTCCAACCAAACAAAAACACAATCCCTAAAAAACGAATACTTGAAAATTAATCTGATGATCGATAGCGACTGGCCATATTCACGCTGGGAAGCCGTGACTAGTAGGGTACAGCAGGTTGAAGGTGAGGCAGTAACTCATCGAAAAAGACATTTTGAAGTGGTCGCGCTATGTCGTGAATTGGCAGAAGTTAGAATTCACGGTCTCGCCATTGGATCGGGTCCCAGTGGCTGAATGGTCTACGAGCTCACTCGCCTTGTAACGAGAAGGTCCTGGATTCGAACTGTGGCAGTCGGGTGGGTGCGAATTGCTGAAGAGTCCAAAATTAGGCTGACGAAACAGCTATCCAGTACTCCCAGGTTTTCCAATGGTTCTCTACCTGATGTCAGTTCATGATGGAACCCTACAACCAATCAAAAACACAATCCCTACAAAACCAATGCTTGAAAATTTAAATGTGCAATCTCAGCAGTGATGGGAGTGTAGGATATGAAATCTGACCAGTGACATTTATCTTAGAAATCTCTAATAATATCAATAAGCTGAGGTTAAGTACTGAATGAGAGGAAGGAATTATACATTTCAACTCCATCATGCCTGATAACTTCAATGACAGTCAGTTTAAAGACAGCTAAAATCATTGATCGTGTGTAATTTTAAATACAACTTCCCTTGACGTATGCGGTACAACATATAAACTGACACTGCCTTTCTACTGTATTACGTCATATTTTAAGTTTTTTAATGTCTGTTTAGTTATGAATTCCTTAGATAACTGTAATTGAGACCAGTGACAGGAATATTGTGGTATTTTTCCATGGGAAATATACTAGACTGGTAAAAAGAAAACTGCTATGATGTGTGCTAGACAATTAGGAATGCATCACAGTGAATTTGCAAATCATTTTCTGTAAATAAGGAAAATTGCTTACTAACAAAACAGGAACTTTGATATGCATAGGTATACATTAAAATAGCCTATTTCCAAACAAATAACGAATACTATCAGTGTGTTTAAACTAATTCTATTTTGTGTGTCAGAGGAGAAATGAAATCTACTGCAATCTACTTATTAAAACTATCCAGGAGAAAATGCCAGCCAGTAAAGTTGAATGTGTAAAGAAAAGATGGAATGTAAAAACCACACACGTGACTAAAGGTTGGTGTGAAATCTAGAATGATGTTTGCTCTTTCCCAGTTGACTTACGGTATAGTTTAAAAGAGGAATCTTAATTTAATTAGCAATCTATGAGCTGTAAATAAATTCATTTGGGACAAATTACCACAAAACATATTGGATACCATTAGGGATAATTGTAATCGGTAGCCGGAAGTGAAACGAAGGTAGATCTTCGTAGATTTTAGTTAACTGTCATGCTCTTTTTTTTCTTTCACGTCCCTCAGTGGAACATAGGGCTTCAAGCTAGTGGCTTGAAATTTCTGTAGCAGTGTTTATTTTTACAGGATGGGGGTTGATAGCCTCATACCTAACCTTTCCTCTTTACCAGCATTATTTCTGGCTTAGTGAGGTAAAGAAGTGCATTGGCCGGGGATCGAACCCCAGAGCATGTGCATGGTCAGCGAGCGTCATAACCTCTATGCCGCCGACGCACAACTGTCATGCTGTGCCTTGACCCAATTATCATTTGAGTAATAAACAAGCAAGATTTTATTCTATATCAATAGTGAGTTAATATTTTGGTGACTTATATTGTGTAGTGACAAGAGTTAATCTGTTACGATAGTTCTATAACTATATACTTCAATACTCCAAACAAGACTATTTCTGCACAATGTAGAGATTTTCATAACTGTCTAGCTGTGTACTAACAACCTCGTCAATTACTTCTAAACCGCTAGTCGAAATTTGTAACTACCGAAACTCGAGTTTGTGAAAGCTGGAACCACTAGATGAATCCTCCTGTATAGCTCACCGAACTTCCACAAGTAACACACATTTCAAATTATGCGGACAATAGAGTAAACACACTATGATATGATTGAATCCTTGGTTTTGTTCAACTATAATAACATACCAAAAATACAAAACTAAACCAAAAATGCCTCTGACAGTATCCCAAGTACAAAATATGTAATGTACAGTAAAATTATTTGACGAAAAATAACTATAAATTACGTAAGAAACAGTACGAATATTCTCCACAAGGTAGTACTTAAACTCTGTTGTTTCGATAAGGGTCATGGAAAACTATTTCTGCGTGAGTACATTACTGACTAAAAAGGGAGTTGATACAAGACCTGATACTGTAAAGGAAACTATTTGTCCTTAGGGTAGTAGATACTCGATGGTGCCATTTCTTTCAGTCTACATACATTTCGATGAAAAGTACAGTAGTTACAGTTAAAGACAGGTTGGTACTAAACTGCATAATAAGTATGGCCCCTGGTTCTATAGACATTTAGACGTAAATTCGATACAATAAGGAAAATTAGAAAAAAGTTGACTGGTGTATGAATGTTGAACAATAAATACTTCACTGTAAAACATTTGAATACAATTTTTGAGAATTTTTCCCTAAAAGTTGAGGTGGTTGACAGTACTGATTGAAATATTTGTGCACACGACTTTTAGTTTACACCTGATTTCTGTATATTTGAGCAAAAATATCATAACCCTCCTCCAGTAGTCTCATAATGATTTTCAAAGGACAGACTTCATTGCTTTATATGCATACCATGTACAAATAAGTTACAAAAGGGTGCTAAGATTTCGTGAAATCATATAGGACCTTAGAAACAATGTTGATGGTTTCGGCAAACCAATGAGTAAATTTAGCTCACCAATCCAAAGACAAGAGTTTACTATCTGCAATAAAACTATACTCCCTTCTAGAGTAGTGTGAAGTATTTTCAGTTGGTGGTAAGGGGCAAGATATCGGTGGATTTTGCCGGTATTCAAACTGTTGGCTACTAAAGTCGAGTTAATTTCTTCAAAATTTATCTCATTTTAGATAGTATTTATAACTGGAACTCAACAGCTTTTTTCAAAAAGCATCTACATCCGCAGCATGGTGCTTCGGTTTTTGATGAATCACTACTAGGTGCGGCTTAGTTTCATAACAAAAGAATTGGTCGGAGAAACTTTTAGAAAAAATAAATAAATGAAATGATCTTATTTCAATCCAGAGAGATTTTATCTTTAGTCTGAAATGTATCTAAGAAACAGTCTGGTAGTCTGGTAGCCCTTGTTTCACGTTATTGTAAGATGAGGTAGTAAATTAGATTGTTTAAGACTATTTTAACTCAAATGATAACGCAGAACAAGAAGAAATATTCAAAAGGAGACATTTGAGGAATAACTTACAACTGCACAAACTGGATAACCCAATTCAGAGATTTTTTCTCCACATTTAACAATTTCTTGCTGACGTTTTCTAATACCGTGAAGGATTGATCTAGTTGTTCTAACTGCATCTTTTGATTCTTTTTCTTGATAAGCAGGCGTATGTTCCTTTTCATGCACAATGGGTAATCTCTCTCTTGCCTTCCACTTTACTGAACGTCTAAACCTATAACTTCGTCTTAACGACTGAGACTTGGAAAACTCTTCAGGACGACTACGATGAACAGCATTTAGTCGAAGGGGATTAAGTGCCCACTCAGGTGTTATACAAAATCCGCGTACATGACCTTCTGCACTGACAACCTGAAATTTGAATAAAAAGCTTTAGCAAAAGGCTATGGAATCAGAAAATGTTTGCTTGATGCCTAATGATAAATTTAAGAAATACATGGGGTGTAATTATCAAAAAGTCTTAATGGAGTTGAAGTACCATTTCTTGAAATAACGGAACCAATACATATTCACCATCGTCGGTGAATATCTATCCTAGTAATCGTCTTGTGGGACTCTACGGGTCAATAGTTCTTATTAAAACTCGTAAAGGCTATCAGAATTAAACCACTTTTTTAGAAGGGAAAGATTCGTTGGTCAAATATTATACAAAGTGGTCAAAACTTGTCAAATATAATAACAGACAACAGGAAATATTCCTAACCGTGTTAATTTTTATTGTAGCGTTTCAATATACTTGAATCATAAGAAGTTGAGTATGGCTACAAACGTACAGTAGCAGATTCTCTAAGTGTAGCCTAATTTAACCAGGTGATGAATCTGAACTCCGATACGGTGTCCCTAAAAGTGATACTAGTCCTAGATCCACCTTGAAAGATTCTCAGTTCTAACTACTTCGTGATAGAGGACTTTTTCCTTTCGATAACACCCAGTAACAAAACAAATTTATTCGTTACCCGATCATATAATGAACGGCCGAATTTCTGCCGATTTAGAATTTTTTTGTTGGCGAAATAATTGCGCTTCAGAAGGATTTGTTACTGTCACCATGATTGACAGGAATATTATTATAGTGTTTATTGTCGTATGAAATTAACAGTTCTCAGCTGGATTTGTACCAACTTGTTCTCTCAGAATGAAGCACTGTTTCTGAAATGACTACAACAAAACTAGAAAGATTTTGCTGTTTTGTATGTCACTTTTAATTTGAAAAACATTTTAAGTTATAGATGAGTACGCCATCAAAAGCGAAAGCTCTGAAGATACTATTATTTGAAACAGCATTATTTAAAAAAAATAAATAAAACTCAAAAGTGAATGTCCTAATCAACCGTTAAACAATAAAAAAATCAGAACAAGACATACATCTGGTGACATGTTTTCAAATCTTGGAGGTCCACCATCTTCTGCTTGATATCTAAGCCGGTCGAGTAAATAAACTAAATGTTCACCATCTCTTGTCTGTAAAGGGATTGTTAAATTGACCCAAAAACTTTCAAGAGGTGATGGACCAGCATTTGTAACAAGATAAACATGTTTCAATTCTGGACCAATAGTTTCTGGGTGTATTCGTTGCATTTCATAAGGTTGTACAGAGAAATTACGAAAATCAATAATTGTGCGATCCAACGCCGATGACGAAAGCTTAAAAATATTTAATATAAGAGAGAAAACTCAGGGTAAATTTTTAAAAAGTGTAAGAAGTTTTGATAAAATGTTCATATTTGTATTGTACTTCATACTTATTAAAAACGACTTCACTTTGACTGGACACCAGTTAGTAAATAGTGTGATGTCTCTAGTCCTTTGATTGGTGCAGAAGGGACATAAGTTCCTCCAAGATTGCAGATACGCCTAGGTCCAAAGATGCCTGCCAACTGCCTCCAACTATATAATACCAAAAGCTGCACTACTAGTACTGCTTGTGTAAACTGTGACTCATGAATTCGGAAGGAGATGTAAATAACCTGGAAACATGAACCATCAACTGATGGATTATTGACCATGTTTATGATTAAGATTTGAATACGTAACAGTTTCGCTAATCATTGTTTCACATAGAAGTTACATATTAGTGATTTAAAGGATGGTAAAGCGGAATTTAATCCAACCTTATCAGTAAGTGTTTAAGCGAAAAGATGTCGTTTCGACACTTACAGGCTTGCCGAAACTCGGTTTTCTTGACTACGATACGAGCATAGATCCAGTCTGAAGACTATTTAAAGCGAAAATAAACCGAATGAAAATAAATTCCCGTAGAAGAATTAGATCCCAAATTAACCAACTGTCCAGAATTTGCTAAACATTTCTTGCTAGGCAATTCACAACGAAATAAATCTATTCAAGTATTGGTTTGTAGAGATTTGGTTGATTGGCTACAGGATTTCATCATGAGCTGACATTGGTTGGAGAACCATTGGAAAACAAGCTGGGAGTACTAAAGAGCTGTTTCGTCCTAGTTTGGGACTCTTTACAGTACGCACCCATTGCCAGTGTTCGAACCCAGAACCTTCTAGATACAAGGCGAGCTCATAGACCATTAAGCCACTGGGGCCCTATCCAATGGCCCATGAATTCTAACTTCTGCCAATTCATGATATGTACATAGCAGAAATAGGCTAAAAGAACAACAGATTAGCACTGAACCAACCATGGAAACGCATTACTTCACAACAGCACATACCCATATATACAGTTGTAACCAGTCTGTTTTATCTGTTTCAGAAGCATTTTTAGATGTTTTAAACGACATTGATATTCGTGACCAGTAGGGTGCAGCAGTTAGGGTGTGAGGACAAATACACGCCGAAGACACTGGCTAGGGGTCACGCTATGTCATGAATTGGGAGAAGTTAGAATTCATGGACTGGCCATTGGATCGGGTCCCAGGGGCTTAATGGTCAACGAGCTCGCCTTGTAACCAGGAGATCCTGGGTTCGAACCGTGGTGGGTGCGCATTGACGAAGAGTCCCAAACTAGGACGAAACACCTGGTTGTCCAGTACTCCCAGGTTTTCCATTGGTTCTCTAACCAATGTCAGCTCATGATGAAATCCTGCAACCAACCAAATCCCTACAAACCAACACTTAAATACATTGATATTCACTTATTAAAAGTGTCGTTAATACTTACTTCAACTTTTGCAGCCAATTTTAGCTTGTAGGATATACTAGCCTTATTATTATTCTTATTGATATCTTCGTTTCCACTCTGAACTTCAGCTGTTATTGTCAATTCTTTAGGTATCGATAATGTACTGCGTTTCACTCGATTACTGCTATGCTGATCATATGATTCGTAAGTGGGATATGAGTTTGAATAGTAACGATTTTCACTCCACACTGATGATAATGATGAGGGTGCTGGTGATGCATTGAAATCACTTTCCACACTGTTTTGTTTATTCTTCATGCTTCTAAGTGAATCTGGTATTTGCTGTTGACTAGTAATATCATCAAACTGCCCTTGCTGCTGATTATTACTATTTGATGTAGCGTTTTCTGGTTGGTCATTTAATGGTTCATCCAACTGACGAAATGCTCCAGCTGTATTTATTTGAAAGGTAAATGAATACACGTCTTCATTGCCTGTATAGCCCAATGGATCGCGTAAATTGCATGATAATTGGGTTTGCTATAATAATAATAATAAATAGAAGGATAGTGAAGGACAGAATATTATTTATTATTTGAATAATGCAACAGCATGTGACTTTGTTTAACACTTAAACATCTGTCTAAATATGAATGATAAAAAAAATTACCAAAAATAGTTTGAGATATACAACAGTAAGAGTGCAGGATAAAAGTTTATGCAACACTGGTTTATTTTATTGTATATGTATAAAAAATACCATTGTTTACACTACATATATATATATATATATATATATATATGTAGTCAAGCATAAAACGGTACAGTTTTAAGAGCATGTAATCATTTCCAGTTGATAAATTGTTGCAAGTGTATCGTGGAAAGAAGACAGAAGGCTTTATTTATCTATTTATTTTAAGAAGTAGCATTTTTCTATATAGTACATTCAGTATTCAACTGTTTTAATTCCTAAGTAATATGGCGTACATTATGGAAGCGATTTTTTTAATGACAACCATTAGATGAATGTATCAACTGCCTGTCAAGTCAATGCTTTTATCCTGTTCAGGGACTTAGTGAACGAGTCACAAATAGCATTTCAAACAACTAATTGCCTTGGCTAGATACTGCTGATCAGAAGACCAGACAGAAAGGATAAGCATCGAGGGGATCTGGTAGATGATGAATCAGCTAAGAACCTGTCGCCCAACAAATATGCAGAAGGAAATCGAGATGTACTAAACATACTCGGAGAAGAACAATGAGTGAAATGACACACCACATCCTTTAGTGGAATCTGAACGGGGTAAAGCGATGATTTAGACGTCCAAGGATAATAATACTAATTTGCTTTATTCCAAAACAGTACTTGTGATACAGAATGGAATCCTCAGTATTTTACTACAGTATTGCATCCAGTTAGTACATGAACTCTGACTAAAATCCTACATAGATTAAGGGTAATCTCGGTTAGTTTTGAAAACAATATATTGGCATGTCGATAGCAAAGCCAAAATTGAACAGTGTTTGAAGGTGTTATAAATGTAGATGCTAGCATATTTACTGGCGTAAGCGGTAACAAAAAGGTCGAGATATACAGAATGTGAGAGAACCAAGATTGTTTTAAATAGCGTTTGTAAGGAAGAGAGGAACAAAGCAGCACATAACAAAAAAAGATAGAGAGAAAAGGAAAAGAGAGGAAGAAAACGTTGTACCCATAAATGATATGAGTTGAAAAGACGAGATCCAGTTGTTCTACTGACTGTTTAATAAGTTATAGGTATCACACCTAATGCTTTCTTTATTACACAGAACACGAGCTAAGTAGGGTATGGTTGAGTTTTTGTACTTACTGGTGCGAGTATATAGTTTCCGATATGGGCTTCTGGTTATGCCTGATGAGATACAAGGGGAGAGTTGTGAATGAAGAGGGTGATATGAGTTAGATAAAATGGATTTAGCCTATTTTTCACATAAGTCCAAGTACCTGTCAACCAGAATATTAACAAACTGGTTAAGTGGCAGGTTGCTTACCCTGCTGACAACCTTTAACATCCTGCGTAATAAGGTAAAGTCTTTCCTCAGTAGCCCTGGAAAAACTTAGGGGGAACAATAGAGAATAATAGGCAGAATACAGGAGTTCACGAATTGTATGAGTAAGGGTTGGGTTATACCGGAATGTCTTAACTTCTAGATGTAGAAGGTGAGATGGAATATTTTCTTGGAAATCGTCAAGACGACAATGGGGGGATAAAAAAGAAAAGGAAATGAAAGTTTATGGGAAGCCATGGGGGCAGCTACGAAGGACTGAAGAGAACGGAATGAAATGCCGATGCGCGACTGAAGCTCTATGGTTTCACTTGGAAACCAAGGGAGGTATAACAGTAATAATCATCATTCGATTATCTTAATATTCTAAACAATGATTCTCATTAAGTAAATCACTGTTGAAAGTTAACAGAATCCAATATGTATTCTTAACCTTTACTTAGAAAAGACGAAAATATAATTAATAGGAAGTTATACGGGCAAGAATATAACACTATAGTGTGTCATAATAGGAAGATCTAATATTCAAAATGATACACTGCTTGATTTGACGTCAACTATGAAGTAGTATTACATCATTTTGATTTCTGATGATAATCATGAAGACTGAACTTCACCAGTCAAATGAAAAAACAAAAGCACACGAATATGGAAAAAATCTCCATTTAGACATTTAGAAAACAGAAAGATTAAGCGAAGAAATATTTACTTTTCAATTAGATCCTCATCTCTGACTCTACTCTAATATATATCCATAGCATTTTTATTACAATACACAACAATTTACCAATCAAGTGTAGTGTAGTAAAAATGCTATATATGTTAGAGTAGAGCCAGAGATGAGGATCTAATTGAAAAGTAAGTATTTCTTCGTTCAGTCTTTCTGTTTTCTAAACTCACGAATAAACAGAACGATAGAGGAATTAAAAAAGAGCAATAAAGGATGAGAAGATGAATGCCTGATGGAGCTTGAAGACAAAATAGTAGAAATAAACATTAGGCTCAAGATTATTGTCGTCTCTGTAATTAAAGATAATACTCTTAAAATCATGTACATTACGATGAAACAAAGTTTCCGAAAAGATTGCTTTAAATATTCAGTACGACGAAGATATGGATTTATCAGTCCTCATTCCATCTCGACAACATCACTTTGAATTAGAAGCATTAGCTCCCATGAAATATGTGCAAAGAAAGGGTGGAAAGTTTGCGAAACGGAGATTTAAAAATGAAATTCATTTAGGCACTTGATCAGATAGAGGAAAAGCTTCATAATTAACGACGTTCAGATATGTTATTTTTCAGACTTATAAACTGCAAGTTTGAAAACATTCTCCATTCGATGTTATTGAAGCATAAAATACAAGTTATTATGAGCAAAGAGGTCTATTTTATTCCTTATATGCGCTTGTCATTATTAAATACTTAATTGAGGCTTTTTTATTGAATTTCAAACACTTTAATGTCTGTCTGTAGCTATATAGCACTGAAATTATCGCCGAATCATTACAAAAAGATCCTGTACAAATCCATTCCATTCTTAGAGCAAAAGAGTCTACTCATTTTTTCTGCAAGGATTACCATAAATGAAACTGAATAGTAAAATGATGATTAGAACATAATGTTTTCAGTAACACCTGTTTTATTGCTACTATTCCCTTGGGCCCCAAGTGGAACATAGCACTTCAACAGCACACTCGTGATTTCACTGTTCTTTGCAATCCTTTTTAACCAGCTCACCGATTGCCCTATAAGTTTTCATCTCTTCTTCAAATGATCTCCTCCGTGTCATTCTCATATGTCTGACTCCTTGCATCCTATTCAGGTCCTTCTGGAAGACCTGACGTGCGAGGTCCCTGAAAATTCTTCGCAAAGTATGTCTTGTCCACCTCCATTTCCTTCTTTAGGTTTGCTGGGTGATTGGTTCTTGTTTGGTTAGTTGCCAGAGTTCATTAGTAATTACTGGATTACAGTTTATCGAAAAAAAAATACTATGAGCTGAATACAATATCACTCTCTTCCAACTAAGAGCCAAGCTACTTGATGTGCTATCAGTCAAAAAACAGTTTGGCTGGAAAATCGTATTCTAATTCCGAATGTTTAATGTTGCTAATGAAAAACTTCACTATTATGCTGTTCCATTGGGTTTCAAGTAGAACATATAATTTTAACATCACATCTTCATTATCTTCCATATTCCGCTGTCCTCTCCATCTAGGCCCAAGATTGCCCATAATTTCCTGTTTCCTCTTCTCACGATCTCCTCCACGTCACCCTCTCACTGACGAACCATTCATTGCTTTCCACTGGGACTGCAGTGGTTTGGCGTGTGACATCATTCGACGGTTTCCTCAATGTATGCCCGGTCATTCTACATTTTCTCCTACATGTTTGTTGAACAGTCGGCTCTTGGTTGGTTTGCTCACCATCATAGTTTCTTGTTTATAATTCCTTCTGGCCATTTGATCTTCAATATGCAGCCAGTGAAAACAGCTGTTGATAAAAGTCTGCAACCTGTTAGAAATGCTTTACTTGATGCGCAGTGCAAGTTTCTGACCCTTATAGAAGAACTGAATAACTTCACATTGGTGTTAAGAATCAAAATCTTGTTCTTCATGCTGGTTGAGTGATAGCAGAAGACTTCCGATTGGATTTCAGATTGATGAGGGTGTATCTTGCCTTTTCAATTCTGGTGGCCTGCTTTGACATCTTCATCCGTTGAAACAGTGCTTCCTGTCCAGATAAGTGAAAGAAGTAACCTCTGTTAAATCTCTCCCGTTGATGGTGATTGGTGCTGGTTGTTGTTGTTGCTTATGTTGCTAGTGGTTGGTTATCTTCATCACCTCTGTCTTCGCTCACCTGAAGTTCTCTCTTCACTGCCTCTTCAGTCAGTTTGTTGGTTTTTGCCTGCCTGTAAGTCTTCGAGTTTGTGTGACATCAGATATAAATCATCTACACACGAAATCCAGATCTCCCAGAGTCTTCTTATCAGACGCTGCAGTGTATTTCTGTCTTCTCACTCCCTGTGCAGAGTCTAACGCATAATCCCGTCCACCACAACTAGGAATATCATCGGTGATAACAGACAGCCCTATCTTACTCCTGTATTCACTTCAGAGGCTTCATTAAGTTTTCCGTTGTGGATTACTCGACACGTTGCATTGCCATATAGCTGTTGAATGAAGTTAATATAAATCTGGGGTGTTGCACACCACAGTGTTAGAGTAGTTTCTAAATTTCTCCTCGGTTACCACTGTCTGTAGAAGGCCTTTTTGAAACTGATGAAGTTAAGGTAGAGGTTTGACTGTCATTCTATGCTTTGTTCTTTGATGACGCGTATAGCTGCAATTTGGTCAGCACATGATTTGCCTTTCCTTAATCTAGCTTGCTCCAGTCTGGCGGAGTTCTGTATTCAGTGCATCTTTTATTCTCTTCAGGATGACAGAATAGCGAAATACTCCAACAAATGATCACTTATTTATAAACTATATGATTTTATCTAGTTCAACTGGAGTTTAAACTATATTTATAACACGGACTAGTGGTGTAATTTACGACTCCTAAAATAAGAAGTAGATTGCCTATGCAGTTAAAATCACTATAATAGTTAAAACAGTTATCTCTGAAAATAGTCCTTTCATCAGATTGATGACTAATATAATTTAATTTCTGTTCCATTTACAGAATCACTGTAAAGTTTTTTTAAAATGGATGCAAGACTTGAAGACAGAAATGAAAAATTGATGGTGAGTGGTTAGAACAACTGTTGAAATGCTTTTTCATTCCCTCCTTCTTCTTCTTTTTCTTTATGTCGAATATAATAAATCTGTAGGCAGAAAACAAATAGCCTGTTCCGTAAATTTCATAGCCATGACTAACAACTTAATTTTATCCCACTAGTCACTTGATTTCGATTAAATATTCTGTAATTTGTTGTATACAGACATAACACAATCGTAGTTTGAATCGTCAGTTAGCGCTTAAAATTTCGTGACCTTGAGATATGTATGTGGGAGTAAACACCATGTTAAATTGATTATTGAATGAGTCATTCGAAAGGATAAATGTAAATTTCTTTCATTTTATATGTTCGTTATATAAATTTACCTAGTTTTATTACCATCATTCGACATTTTTCTAGGGAAGTATTTAGCACATATTTACGATATGTTTTTCTTCTTAATTTTCGATATATATCAGGGATTTATAATGACTGGAGGTAATGTTTCAATATTTACTTGAACAGATGTCATGAATTTGTTTTAAAACGTCTGCTGTTTCGGGTGAAGATGTGCCTTGATGCCGGGTGCTAAATACAGTCAAAAGTATACCAAGTATATGAGTGCCATCAAACGAACATCACAAAGATGCGATTCACAGCGGTATCAAGTACAAGACAGTAGGGTAACTAAAAGAAAATTCAAACTGTAATAGTGAAAATCTTTCCAAGTAAAGAAACCCTTGAAGATAAACTTCAATGGTACTTATTTTAACCACGATTATTGTTGTAGACTGAAGTTTCTGTAGCAACTTTGTTTACAGGGTGGGGTTGCTAGCCTCACGCCTTAGAAAAGGATTGTTACGTTAAGATATAGTTTAGAGAGAAGCGACCTTGTGGGTTGCTCCCCTTAAAACCGGAAAACAAGGAATAAAACAATCAGAACAACACCACCAAAAGGAAAATAATTCACAGCAAAAGGGCAACAGGCGACAACAACAATAAAAATGTACCAGTTAAGCACAGTTAACTAAAATGATAACCAAAATCTTAGACTCACTGACTTGAGCCAACTTGAACATGTGAATCCGACAATATATACAAGTACAGATATGTGTTAGTGTTAAAAAGTCACAAAATACTAAACAGTTAGTTACAGGTATTAGTAGTCAACAAGATTATATCCACAGGTTTAGTGTTCGAAAGTAAACGAATTGCAATAATTTCCAAAACGTCGTGGTCAGAAACACCAGAGAAATGAGAGTTTTATGTAACTAAGCATATGTAGCGCACTGATCGAAAAGCTACAGACCTTCATTAACAGTTGTCTTCGCTCAATACTACTCAAGATCAGATGGCCGGACAGAAAAGATCAGAAACAGGGATCTCTGGAAGCGAATCAACCCATCAGGAACCAATTGTGCAACAAATAGGCAGGAAGAAATGGAGATGGATTGGCTGGCCATACACTGAGGAAACCATCAAGTGACATCACTAGACGAGCCATCACTCGAGTGGAACCCGAAAGAGAAGCGGCGAGTTGGTCGTCAGTGCAAGGGTGACTTGGAGGAGGTGACGTGAAGATGAGATGAAAGTATGTGGGTAGACTTGGAGCAGTGTGAAAAAGTTGGCAGAAAACCGAAGGCAATGGAGACGCGCGGCAGAAGCCCTATGTTCCTCTAGGAATTAAAGGATATAATGATAATAATAATAAATTCTTGTAGACATGCAGAGGAAAAATTTTACTCACCTTAAGTTCACTTAGCGGAATAGTTTCACATAGTAATCCTTCAGGTATGCTGAAACTCAGCTGATCAGGAAACGTCATCACTAACTTAGTAGAGTAAGCATTTTCTCCCAGATTTCCTACAAAAACAGTTACATTCCTTTGAGTAACACGTTCTCTAAAATAGATTATTGACTTATCAGTTGGACCTTCTGAAATATCTGTCATTTGTACTTGTAAATCAGGCCGACAAATATTATCACTACCACAAGCTGGATTTGAAAATTGCATTGACCGACTGACAAAATATCTTTGTCCTAGAAAAGGATGTAACATCCATGAGGATATTGATTTATGTTCAACAAAAGACATTGGATCGATAACTGGACTGAGAGTTACATTGATACGTACAGGCTTCCATAAAAGCGTACTAACTCTGCCTGGTAAAGGTTCAACAACAAAGTCGAATAAAACTATTCTATTAGCATATTCATCAGCCAATTCACTGGTTTTTAAATCCACTAACGTATCGATAACTCCTTTAACAAGTGAATGTTCATACATTTGTTTTCTAACAGATCTTACAATGAGACGTTTATTTTCAGGTTGCTCAACATCTGAATCCAAATCGATCATTAATCGTAGTTTCCAGTCTTTTATTTGCTTTAAAAGTTGTTGATTACCATTGATTCTGACAGATAATTGCATTGGAAAACTGCATTCATAATCACAAGTTAAACCGTCTTCACTTAACCATGATAATGTAGGTTGTGTAGGCAGTTCCCATTCAGCAGAATCAAACCATAAAGTGTTACGTGCTCGAAGCATGACGACCTGTATAATATTCATATAAAAAAAGGAGAGAATATATTTAGACAATATGGATTATCGTTTGAGAAATTCATTTGATTTTGACACATCTATTAGCTGACATTCGAATTCAGGGTAGCCGCATAATAAGTATTCTTCTAACTACAAAGTGATATATACATAGCCATACGTAAACATTTATACTGATAATTGATTTACCATCATTTATAATTGTGTATCTACTGACGCCATATTATAAACATATCGATTTCATTTCAGAGGTAAGAAGATATTAAACACAAGCTCACGAATCTCATTCTGTTTATGTATCTCTATAGAAGCTTGTAGACATCAATATTTATGCTGTAAGTTATTGACACATAATATACTAATTTCAAAGCAAGTTTCGTAGCATGCTCATGTATCACTAGGATAGCCACAACATCGCATTGCCTTAGCACTGGTGTCACCCTTAGGATCAAATCTGCCTTATTTGGCACTTCTCAAATTCTTTCTCTTGTTCAGTTTAGGAGAATTAACTGTGTGAATACTTCTACATTTCAAATAAACAGGTGAGGGCTATAACTCCTCAGTAAAAATCCATTTACATTATTTTGTGTCGGTGTGGGTATTCATAGGTTTACAGAGTACATCCTCCAAGGAAAAGGAGTACCAGTTGAATAGCCGTTTGCCATACTTCAGGAATATTCAGCAGAATACATCTTAGACCCTGCAAAATGTTAGTACTATGAAAATCAGGTTTCAAAGAAAGAAAGAAAGCCATCGTTGATTCCTTAATTCTCACTCCAAATACCAATGAATCACTGCACTAGCCGGTTGCTGTTTTTATGCAACGAACATTCGTGAATAGCTCTTCTCAGGTCTAATGTGATGCAATTCATTGATTGCTATATCATGCATGGTATAGTGTTTTGCGGTAATATAACTGAACTTGTCGTAAAGACTTCTAAATTGCATAGAGTCAATGCAATACAACAGATTTAGTTTTCAGAAAGCTTCCCATTTCAAGCTAACCACACCTTTATTACTATGCTTCGACTAATAATATTAATTGATAAATAAGGCATATATGATTCGTTGGTGTTCGCTAGTATACAAAATCACATCAACGTTTTTCACATGCTAATACAGCATAGTTGTAAGTTTAAATCCATCAGTTTTATTTGTTTATTCGTGTGTCTGTTTCGTTTAATGATTTACCATGATGTTAATTACTACTACATTAAAAAAAAATCATACAGATCTGTTTCTACCTTCTTTGTTGATTTGTATTCAAACATAAAGGTGGAGCTGTTACACCATGTATAATAAATTTGAACTATGCTAAATACTTCATGTTAAACTAAACTTAATCTTTCGTTTTGAAAGAAACATTATGCTTTTTTTCCTGAAATTCTTTCGACTGGGAGAAAAGGAAGTAAAATTGCAGTAAAATAGTTATATAGCAAAGGGGAAATCCAACGGCAATTTTATTTCATATCATGTGATCAACTTGACACAATATAAAATGGTATTAAAAAAAGATAGGTGATATGTGAAATGACACATTCTAATGATTAATGAAAACAGTACTTGTTGCTGATATCAGTTACTGGTATACATTGTGCTTCTAAGTTATAACTCACAAAAACAGTTGTTTCATCCCAGCTTGGGACTCTTCAGAGATACACACCCATGACCCGGAAAGGATCGAACCCAGAACCTTTATGTTACGAGATACGCTGCATGACCATTCAGGTGCTAGGGTGGAATGCAATTCTCCATCAATTCTGACTGGTCTATGAGTTCACCTTATCACCTGAAGGTCCTGGATTCGACTCCTGGTAGGGTTATGATTCTGAAGATTCTCAAATAAGGACGAAACAGCTATTCAGTACTCCCTGATCTTCGTAATCACTCTTGAAATCAATCAAAATGCCTGCAAACCAATACTTGAAAGTGAATAATTTACAAAAAAGAATAAGTAAATTCACAATTTTCTTGGAAAATCTAGGCACTACAAACAGGAGTAACGTTATAATGTTTACCATGTATATTTGTCGTGTTGATATTGACAAGATGTTTAAAGAAAAGACAAAGCATATTGGTATATCACCATTTATTTGATGCCAATTACATCAAACAGGAATGAAAGTATACGAAGTAGAAAAGTAGCGCATGTGATATAAGACGGTTATTTTTAAAATTACCTAGTTGACTTAATAGAGCACGTTTACCTCCTTTATTCTGTCTAACTGTTTGCATAATAAAGTCAGACTAATTGTTGTCATACCATGAATAATTGTATCAAAGTTGGACACTTGACATTTTCACATATTGTGACGTTTAGTATATGTATATACATATACGAATAGGTTGTCTTCATTTCACTGGTTGTGTGTATCTCATATAATTTTGAATGTCATCATATCAGCTGATCAGTTACCTACATAGATTCTTTGTGTGGTATTGCATTCCGTTAGTGGAATGGATAATGAGTATTTTAGTGACCTACGTCGATGTTATTATAATTTTATGTGTTACCTTAACTATCTACCAGTGGCAGTGCCGAATGAACTTTTGCTTTATTTTGTCAGTTTGGTTTGAATAGTCTGGTCTTGATAATCACTAAACTGTATTTTCATTTTATACAACCTAGAATAGTAGTGTTACTGAATATCTCACTTTATTTGCCTGACAGTGTCACTAAATGATGTCAAGTGCTTCATATTTTCTTGTGATTTGACTAAATTTCTCTCTAGTTAGTGTACAAGGTCCATAAGAAGAAAAAAGATAAGGTATGTGAATCGCAATGCCTTTTGATGGAATCATCCCGCTAGCAACACACATGTTTAAACGTGAATTTTTAGATAAACTAGCTGAGGAAGTTATAAGAAGAAGACACTGCGAAATGGTCGCCCTGTGTCGTGAATTGGCAGAAGTTAGAACTCAAGAACCATTAGATCTGGTCCCAGTGGCTCAATGGTCTACCAGCTCACCTTGAAACCAGAAAGTCCCGGGTTCGAACTCCGGCGGGTGCGTACTGATGAAGAGTCCCAAACTAGGCTGACGAAACAGCTGTCCAGTACTCTCAGGTTTTCCGGTGGTTCTCTAACTAATGTCAGCTCATGATGAAATCCTCCATACAATCGAAGTTATAAGTCTCCAACGGCGAAGATGGCCGTTTTTTGTAACATGCTTACCGGTGCTTAGTCTACTTCAATGTACCACGTTAGTGTAAGTACTATTAGATCTGTGAAGTTACTTTTCAGATGAAGGCCTTCAGATAATTAGGTTCCATGAATTCATTAAAATACAGGCAACCACTGTACAAAATACTTAGCAAATAATAAATCACATACCTGATCACTTTCATAATCACCAATTACAAGATCAGGTGCATTATTCCCATCTAAATCTGATAAACCTGATAAACTCCAGCCGAACGCTGTAAAGACACGCGGACTCTCCGATGTATAATCACTGGTGAAATCAGTACTACCGCATACTGTTACAGCAGGCACCTTTGGTAGATCAGAAGGCCATATACTCTGAAATAAATGTAGAAAATCAAATTATTTAAACCTTTCCCTCACACAGACAATAAGTTTTTCAGGTTAATTTTCAAAATATTCTCATATACATGACGTCTCATCCAAAAGAAAGTGACAATAAATATGAGATTTGTCATTTAGAGAGTTTGTAGATCCAAATGTATGTAATTTAAGAGGCTTACAACTGTATAACCATTTATTGGAGTGAGTGTTGGGCTAACAGTTCAAATCCTTATGTTGCAGATTTTAGCGATCCTTCAATATTCAGGTAAAATAAAATTTACTCTAATTCAGTGAATCATAGCGAAGTTGATGAATTCAAGTGAATTAGAAAAATAATATTGCAATGAGAAACTATTTCATAATAAACTTTTTGGACGCGAAATGACGATTGACACGCACACCCCTATTGCATATTAGAAACCCAAGTAAGCCACATAACAAAAATCAGTATTTCTTTCTTTTATGGTTGCTTCGAATCGCATCATGATATTCGTGAATTATTTGCACATGAGTCCTGTAGCCTTCAGGTGTCAGTGATTGTTTGCTTCGTGCAGTGACCTAAATGACAGATTTTGATTAACAGTGTGTAACATCCTCCAGACAGCTTTTCTACATCATCTAATCCGACGTGAAGTCCATCGAATTTTACTGCACAATTTCAGTAAAGAAACAGCTCCTTTGAGACCATGGGTACTGTTTAGTAATTGATCATATTGATCTTATCAGTTGATCGAACAAAATCTATAGCGTTTCCACGTCATCGTTAATTTAAAAAAGTAACTTTTCTACAGACGAGTTTCCTGAGGAGAGAATAACATTACAGATGTTTAGCAGGCTGTAGATTTACAGTGATCAGTCATCATATATCCAGTACTTAGTGTTGGTACTCAATGCAGTCTTATAGGAGGTTAGCAGTGAGCATGAAAAGCTAAATGGTATCGTCTCTGATTACAGCTGTATGCAGCTTGGGTTCCAGTCTCCTAAAGGACGACATCCAAATACTGTTAGTCAGCTTCACAACTAACTTTTCATTCTCGTTTGAATATTCTGATGTTAAATTAAATTATGCGGTAGTTAGTCAGCACCAAAGTTTGGCAATTATTCACAGTATTTTAATTAACTGTTTTATAATTTTTTATGAATGCTATTAAAGCATATCTAACCGTCTTGACAACTATTTTTCTGAATCAAACATGTCTGAATGAATTCATACTTAGTTTAATTATAATCTATACAAATAATATAATTGAAAGTGAATTTTTAACAAGAGTTCCAGTTTTATTTTTAAAATATAAGTAAAATTGTCAACCGAAGCTAATTTAATTTATCTTAGAGATTGTGAAGTACTATGCACTAAGTCACCTGTTTGCATTCATTAATAATTTTAAAATTCAGTGTAAAGATAGTTAGTTAGAGAAAGGACTGAAGAATTCAGTCTTTACTTAGATACCAGCTTGAGATATGATTGCATCATACATACCAGATGTCTCTTTTACAGTTTAAGTTTATACATTATAATTTTGTCTACCGATTTAGTGAATGAAAAAAATATGCTTCATTTTTGTAAACTAAGTCGCTAATTCAAAATCATAGTGATGAATGACTTTGTTGTGAAATCAGTAATGGCAAATCTATTATCTCACCACTTTACTTAGCAACAAACGTTAATAAGTAGCTTAAACTTTTACTAACACACCTCAATATAAAATGGAGACCAAGAGGCGCACTGCGTCCTGTTTGGGGCTCATGAGTTGAATGTATCTGCAACCTTAAGTGAGCTGGGGTGGTCTGTCTGGGACTCGAACCCTGTACCTACTGTTTCAAACATCAAGTAGTTATCTGCTAGACTACTTGGGCCACTAGAGCCGCCTCTTCTGCAACACACATCAGTTATTTATTAGTTCTTAGGTTAATTTGCGTTTCTGGTTGACTGATTATGTTGGAACGAAATGTCTAGTCTCTGTTGGAGTGACATTGCTAACTCACAATACAAGTAGACCCAGATGAGGAATCTCAGATAGGGCGAATCTCACTGTGAGCCGTCATCAACCCAAATAAACCCACGTTAATCCATAAGCATTGTCAAAGCGTCCATACTAGGAACCAACATATCAGCAGAGATCGAGTACTTTGGTACAACATGGTCGATCAACATGTAACGCAATTAACCTAAAATCAAATAACACTTCAATATATTCAAAAATCAAGTTTAAGGTATTGTTTTTAGTATAGTTTGAAGTTGCTAAAATTCGTAAAAACCTTAGTATTTCATACTGTTGTCCTTTCATTTGAACAGAATTAGACTCTGTGATGAATATTTAATTTTTTGGATGATAACATCGACCTCAAATGAAATCTAATAATAGGTTATTCATGCTCTTATAACAATTATCTACAATAAGTGAATTAGGACAAATGGAGTGATCGAAAGCCAATTACTCCAACAATAGACCCTTAATCATTCACATAAGATCAACTTGTATTGTATTATTAGGTTAATTTTAAAGCTGAAACTTGGAAGTAGCAACTTCCTTACAGTTAATCTAAAAGTTATTGATCAAGTCATTCAGTTCAGACAACACTAAAACACTTAAAAGTATATTGATCCATTTTGAAAAGTGACCTCATATTTCATTAGTATCTATTAGTAATTACAGTTGAAGATAATACAAGTAATATTTATAGTTTAAAACTAATTTTCAATAGCTAATCGTCAAAATTTTCACCAATACATATATTGCTGAATGAAAGTAACTGAAAAATATGAATTTCATTCCTTTACGTTCCCAGTGGAACAAAGGGCTTCAAGCTACAAGCTTGAAGTTTCGGTAGCAGTGGTATCTGCTTTTACAGGCTGAGGTTGCTAGCTTCATGCTCAACCTTCCCTCTTTACCAGTCTTATTACTGGCTTAGCGAGGCAAAGGAGTGCATAGGCCGGGGATCGAACCCCGGACAACATGTGGGGTCGGCGAGCATTCTACTGCTGTGCCACCAACGCTCAACAACGAAAAACTAAAATAGTTGTTGGTAATTGAAGACTACTGACTTAGTGTGTTTAAAATAACTATGAACGCTTTTGTATGTATAAATGCGGTAGGGGATGCCGAAGGCTACAATTCAAAAATGTTTATCTTTGATTACTTTCTTTCAAATCTTTTCCAGAATTTCAAACTTATCGATAATTCTTTTTTTGCCTAGTCTATCAAATTCATCTTTTAGACACAGGGGTTTTGTTAGCTTAACTCTTTCTATGACTTTTATTCACGCCAACTGAACTGATTACCATATGTACTAAGTTCTGAATTGTTTTCTTTTGCACTTATCTTCTCCAATGAATTTAAGATTTCAGAACCACAATAAAACTAGAAATAAGGTGTTTATTTCAAAATCAAAATCCGCTAAATTTTGAGAGAACCTTAGTTCTCTCATTTAAGGTTTTACAATTACTGTTTATAACTTACCTGAAATGGTTCTGCATCAAGTATGGAGTCTTTCTTTCCCAAGTAAATAAACACAACACCTTTATCAACTTCTCCGTTAGGATCATTACAATAAGGACAACTGACAGCCAAATCATCAGTACCATCACTGTCAACATCACCGATATTTGAAACAGCATGTCCAAATCGCCCCTTAGGAGACTTTGGTCCTTCTAAAATCACTGGTTCTCGACTAAAATAATCTGGAATATCTGGTCTTGATTTGGAATCACTTAGTGGACTTGAAGAATTTGAATATGCGCCATAAAATATATAAACTCTTCCAATGTCTGGTAAAAGGTTTGACCATTGAGTGCCCTGATGATGCGTATTTTGGTCTTCTGTATTAACAGAAACGTCACGTGTTTCTTGACTTTGATGTCTAGTAAAGTACGGTGCACCAACAATTATATCAGCTAGACCATTTCCATCGAGATCTGCAACGGCGAGACTAAACAAACATTCAAACAAATATGAAAAAGAAATAAGACAAAAGTGAGTATTTATGCTGATGTTTATAGAATGAAAAGATTTCTTCATAAAGTGGATCTTAAAAAAGGTATTAGCATTAGGGATTAAACCAATAGAAATATCAGACTGTTTGCTAGTGTGAACATAAGCCAATTTTAATTATAGTAGAGACCATCTGTTTTTCTAATAGTATACGTAAGGAATTAGTTATTCAAAGGATATTAGTTAATTGCATTTAGTGTACACATTGAGATCATTTCGGCTTTTACCTAAATTCATCAGAAGTGTTACCAAACTGAATTTGAAACAACCATAATACTTCAGTCTTAAGTTGCATAAAAAAGATAAAACTATTTCACTTCTGTTTCCTTGAGTATTTAAACCATCGTTTCATATTTCTCTGTCTGATAGATACATAATACAGTGAAACAGTAATGTTAATTGAGTACAAAAGAGAATTTTAGATTTTCAAGTATTGGTTTGTAGGCGTTTGACTGATTGGTTACAGGATTTCATTATGAGCTGATATTGGTCAGAGAACCATTGGAAAACCTGCAAGGAGTACTGGACAGCTGTTTCGTTAGCCTAGTTTGGGACTCTTCAGGACTCTGTAATGGTTCTCTAACCAATGAAATCCTGTACCCAATTTTAGATTTACAAATTGTTGCCACATAAAGCGCAAGTCTTAAAAATGTGCTGAAGAAACCTAGAACTAAGATGCCTAAACCTGTGAACTCAGAAATACGTTTGCAGTTTTTAGATTCGTTTTGAGTCTACCAGATGAAATACTTCTGTAGACGATCTAGTTTGAAGTGTACTCATAAGGCATGAATTCATCTGTCAGCTCACAAAGAATAAAGTAAAGGAAATATAGTTCACCCTATTAAAGCCTGTCGTCCAAAAAAACCTTGACCACAGCTGTGTGTGTGCAACAAGTCACCATTAAATAATAAAATGCAAAGAGGTGAAAATGTCTAAAACCAGATGAAACGATTATAACACCAGGTTAACAACAAAAACAGAATCTCTGTTTGCTATGTAAGGACTAAATACCTTCAACAGAAAGTGAACTTGGTTTTCGTCTCAGTAGTATGTGAAGCTTCTATACTCTAGCAACAGAAATCACTAGGAACAGTCAATTTTGGTTTGAAGCACTCCTTAATAACATTCTGATTTACTCAATAAATGGGGTAATATGAAAAAAATATTTTCTACTATGGTGGCAAAATTCTACTTTAACATCAATAAAATAACTTCTCGCAAAAAAATATAGGCGCCGATAATTAGCGATAAGCAAATAAAAGAGGCAGAGTAAAATACTGTTGTATTTTGCTACAGGTAAATAGTTTAGCTCTTAGAATAGAAAGATTGTCATTCTTTGTTCAAAATGAGGATTATTTAAGTCCAGGAATATTTTTACTGACTACAGTTGTAAGTGAATTTTATACAAAGCAAAGAAATGATGGAAATACTGAAACAATTGAGAAGAAATAGTTATCTCGTGAGCAGTCAAAAGTTGAAAAATAAAGTTTTCCAAAGGTATATATTTCGGTGTAGCTTTTTTGTCAGTCGTTTTAGCTGAGATATTAAAACGTGTTAAATAATACTTCGACATCTCAAATAGTCGTATGTAACACAATGAGTTAGATTGCTTCATCTATGAAGTGATCACGAGATAAACTGTTCCTGATTAATTACTTACATTAGCTCTTTACAAACAGTTCTGTTTCTGTACTCTCTCTTGAATGAATATAAACGAAGATAATTCACCCCACACATCAAAATACAAATGTTCCAATGGGTTTCTTCAATATTAGTTTCCAAAACTTCTAATGCAAAGTCATGACATCTGAAATAATCTTATTTGATTTTCCCCTTGGTTGATTGGACTGAAATGTCTGACCACTGTCTTAGTACGGACGCTTCAACTCTATCCAAGGACTGACTTGAAGTTGTTTGATTAATGGCAACTATCAGTCGAATCCAGGATGTACATTTCGTCCTATTTTGGTCCAATCAATCAATGGGAGAATCGATGTTCAATTAAAAGCAAGTAATAACTGATTTCCGTTGTACAAGAAATGCCTAACGTGGTCCACGTGGTCTAGTGGATAACGCTTTTGTAATAGGGACGATAGATACTGGGTTCGAGTCTCACTGGTGCATCCAGATGATGGGTCTCAAACAGAACGACACGCATCATCCACCAAATCAGTTCAAGTTTAAAATAGTCTTAGTTATAATTAAGTAGAGATGATGAGCATACAAGGCTACATATTATGAAATGTTGAACTACTGAATACTAACCTACTGAGCGTAAGAAGTAGTAGGCTTGATTGTGATCTGTTATAAAGTTGTGCGAGCATATCACTAAGTATTAGAGGTTTAGGAAGGAACGTTGCATCATAGTTTCACCCGTTTCTCAAACTTGTTTCAATTCACGGTGAAATGTCCATATTTTAACCAAGTTGTAAGTAAACATTGAGCGGTTAGTATTTACTTTATAGCATTTAAGACGAGTAGTCGGATTAAATTAAAGCCAGTTCATTTTATAGTACAATAGGCTTATTCTTAACCATAAAAAATTCCTACAGTGGCACAATACGCTTTCATGGGTTTATCTATGAAATGAACCAGTGTATATGATAGTAACTCCACTATAACTGTTTTGCTTAGAATGAAGCTAACTGGATTTCAGCATATCCTCAATTTCATGAGAATTTAATGCAGGTTTAAATGAACTATAAATTCATTTTGAATTATCTTAATAAAAGAAAATAACAAATTATTTTATTGATGCCATAATTACTTTATTTATCTACTAAAGTGGGCTTTAAAATTTACATGATAGACAGCATTCTGCTTTCTACATATCAACAGTTTGTGAGAAAAGGGATATCTCATAGTCAGATTATTAAGCATTCGTTATACAATACCTACTACTAACTAATGTAAGCTGAAATGAAGTATTAACATGGCGGAATCATTCAAGTGAGTTGGAAACAAAACAGTCTGTTAGCCAATCGTTCAGACTATACCCCCTACTAAGTGAAATACAATTATGTAATATTCAAACAAATTTTGTAGCACTATAAATTCCATAATAGAGATTGTTTACTTCAGAATTAACACAAGAACTTTTATAAACTGGTTTCATAATAATGGAAGAAATTATCCGATTTTTTATCGGAATGAAGAATGATATTGGTTCACTACAGTCGCTATTGTTGGACACATATGACATGAGAGTTTGTATATACAAGTTTGTATTCTGAATATTTCATTTCATATTACTTGACATGATGTTCAAAGATGGAGGAGAACTAATGAAATAAAATGGATCCATATTATTCTGTACCAGTGTTTGTTCCATTTCTGTTTTGAGATTAAAGCACTGGATTCTATTGAACTTTTCTTGTCGGAATGACAAATTCCGAAGTAAATCGACTATCTGTAACAAATCAAAGTATCCACTACAGTTATTCCTACATGAGGTCAATCGCGAGACCCAGTAGCTCAGTGGCAACGTCTCTGACTGTAGCACTGGGTGACGTGGGTTCGAATCTCAGAAGGGACACGAGTTCCTTCAAGGTTCCAGACATTTCTTACTGATTAGTGAGTGCCAAGTAGCACGAAACCTTGGTCAGGTGTGGCTTCCTTCCAATTGCCTCCACAATCTAATACCAACAGTTCACAATACACCGTGATGGCGAATCACCTAGTATGGTGGCCACATTGAAAACTTGACTGAGAGAATTCAGTCTACACCAAAGACAGGACTAGACACATCGCACTAGTTACCAATGTTCAATCAAAATCTTTCGTTTGGTGATATGCATATGTAAAGTTAAAACTTTTGACATTTAAGGTAGCTTACCAGTTTAAGTCTAACTGTAAAATTGGTTTCCCTAAAGTGCAATTAATCGGTAATGTACAAGTGTCAAAACCTGTTAAGAAAGGTGATCTACAAAGTTCTGCTGTGTTTAAGACTATCTAAGAGTTAATATTGCTTTGCGAATGTTCTCTTAAGTTAAGACATTGCCACTTGGTGTTATTCCGCAAAAATCATATAACTTTTATGAGTAATTATGGAATAAGTGACAAAAAACGTAGTAGATTTGTTGGAGGATTTTATCATGAGTCGACATCAGTTAGAGAACCATTGGAAAACCTGGGAGTACTGCACAGCTCTTTCGTCAGTGTAGTTTGGGATTCTTCATTGGTACTAACCCAGGACCTCCTGATTACAAAGCGAGCGAGTTCGTAGACCATTAAGTCACTGAGACCCAGTCCAATGTCCAGTCCACGAATTACAACTTCTGCAAATTCATGACATAGTGCGACCACTTCACAATATCTTCTTCGATGAATTACTTCCTCATCTTCAACCTGCTGCACTCTATGTAGATTCGTTCCATTATTTTGGCTGTGAACTGTCATTGTGACTTTGAATTATGACGGAACAACTAAATGGTGGTATTTTTGTCATGATATTGGGTATTTTTGAATTAAAAACCTCTTTGTGCTATGAGCACATGTTCACTGTTTCCTAGACTGTAGATTGGCTTTTGTGCCTGATAAAATTAACCATCAAATTACATGAATCTGTGAAACTCAAACACTTGAGTTCTGGCAATGTTTTACGTTCTATATTATAAATACCCATGAGTAATATACAAAAATTTAAATTTGAATTAGATAGCGGAAAAGAGGATATTTAATTACTGGATTTTCTTCACAAGCTGTCTAAAACAGCTATAAGAGCATTTATCAGCAATTATGCAAACGGTTAGGTGGGAAAATTATGTTTTACCAAACTCAAAGATCGAATACTCAACTATAATAGTAACAATCCAATTACTCACAAAAGAAACTGTGTGCCCAGACATTGTTTAAGAGAGTTTAAACACACTGTAGCACTCCCATGTTAGAGAGAATGGGCGAAAAATACCCACTAACCTTCTTCAAAAAGAATGGATA